GAATCACTTTACAGATAGAAACTGGGTCCAGAATGGACCACTTACAGACGAGGGGCCCGGGCCCGGGGCGCGCTGCTTTACGGACGAGGGGCCCGGGCACAGGGTGCATTGCTTTACAGCTATGCATCCATCCATGTTCACATCCATCCATCCATCCGTCCATCCATCCATCCATTCATCCTTCATTAATTTATTATCCATCCATGCATTCATCCATCCATCCACCCACCCATCGTCACATCTGTCTATCCATCCACCCATCTTCACATCCATCCATTCATCCATATGTCCAACCATCTGTCCATCCACCCGTCTAACTGTCCAACCATTCACCAATCTGTCCATCCATTCATCCATCCATCCACCTGTCTGTCCATCCATTCATCCATCCATCCATCCATCCTCACATCCATCCATTTATCTGTCCATCTGTCCAACCATCCATCCTTCCTCACATCCATCCATCTATCCGTCCATTTGTCCAACCATCAATCCATCCATCCATCCATCCTTCCTCACATCCATCCATCTGTCCATCTGTCCAACCATCCATCCATCCTTCCTCACATCCATCCATCTATCCGTCCATCCATCCGTCCATCCTTCCTCACATCCATCCATCTATTCGTCCATCCGTCTGTCCACCCTCCATCCTCCATCCTTTGATCCTGCATCCACCCCTATTTCCACTCAGTCACCATGTGTCCTGCGTCCACTCTGGGTTTGCCTTGAGGGCTGAGCTTCCTGCAGATGCTGTGACTCTGCCCCCTGAGGGACCCCAGGCCGGCTCCATGCTCATCAGGTTTCACCCCTGAAAATGGAGCTCTGCACTCCCATCACCGTGGTGGAGATGCCCACCAGCTCACCGGGAAGTCACCACCTACCTGCACCCATGATGAGGCCTGGGGAGGTGTCCTTGGTGTGCACGGTGCCTGACACATAGGGGTTGTCTGCCCAGCGCAGGTGCAGGTGCAGGTGGCAGTCGGGCTGCGAGGAGAGGAGGGACAGTCAGTGCTGCGCTAGAAGTGCCCTTCAGAAAACAAGGACCAGGGTCAAAGGCCCTGTCGGGGCTTTGGGGTCAGAAAGAGACCTGGGGGAGGGACGGAGGCAGGAAGCAGGCTGTGCCTGGCAGGTGGGGGAGTTGGTAGGAGTGAGGTGGGTCAGCCAGGAGAGCCCGTCAGGTCTCTGCCCAGCCCCCATCTTGGTAGAGCTGGGCAGGCCCCTCTGAGATGAAGACAGCCGGTCTTCTCCCACGGAGCGGTTTCCATTGTGGGTGCTGGGAGGGTGCCCATGGCCCCCCGAGCCCCAGGGTGTGCCTTCCTGGAGTCTCTCAGCTCAGAAGCTTCACTGGGGCC